CTGTGACCTTGTGTGAGTCCAAGTTCACTAAAGGAACAGAACTAGAGCAGAGGGTCCAGGTTTCAACAATGGCTGTCGCTCACTGAAAATCCAGTAGTTGTCATTCCCTGAGGTTGGATGTCTCTGCAATCCCAATCTGGTGAAGGCCTAGAGGATTCCCAGAGAGCGGCTGGTCTTCAGTCCCCACTGGAAGTTGGAAGAACTTGATTCTCATGTAGGGGAAGGAATGCTTCAGCCACAGGCTAGATCAACTTGTCATCAAGAGCGAGTGCATGAGACAAAACAGCAAAGAGCTTCCTCCTTTCACTTCCTTTTATCTGTGCCACCACCAACATCATTGTGGGTCTTCCGGCATCAGATAATCTGATCGAGAAAACCCCTCACACGCTGCTCAGCAGCGTATGTGAAAGCTGGCTTGGAGGCGGTCACCAGCCAGATCAGCTGCCACAAACCTAAGCTGAGACAAGCCACTTCCTCTAAAAGTGGGTTTCGATCAGTTTTTATCAGAGAAATGAAAAGCAACCCAGGACAGGGATCGTTCAACTAGTTGGCATCTCAGGTCTATTGATTCAAGAGTAGCTTTTGGAGGGGTCCTTGCTTGGCTTTTTCATTGGTTTTGTGTGTTGGTTTCTTTGTGAAGATCTGTGCATCTGCAGGAATGGAGATCTCTTCCAGATTTATCTGGATGAGCAATCTTTTTGTTTGTTTGTTTGTTTATTTTTTCAAGACAGGGTTTCCTCTGTGTAGCTTTGGCTGTTCTGGAATTCTTCTGTAGACCAGGCTGGTCTCGAACTCAGAGATCCCTCTGCCTCTTCCACCCAAGTGCGGGGATTAAGTGTGTGCCACAAGTGCCCCAGAGAACAATCATTCTTGGAGGGTTCAATTCCCAGAACTACTAAAGAGAAAGCAAGCCTCCACAACAGCAGCATATCAGGAAAAATTGCAAACCAATAAACACCCTTACACCAAAGAGAGAGGAGAAAATAGAATAGCAAACGCATGAAGTTATGAAACTCATAAGAGGAAAAGTAGAACAGATTAAAAAGCAAAAAAGGAGCTGGGCTCCTTTAATCCCAGCACTCAGAAGGCAGAGGCAGGCAGATCTCTGTGAGTTCGAGGCCAGCCTGGTCTACAGGACAGGCTCCAAAGCTACAGAGAAACCTCGTCTTGAAAGACCAAAAAAGAAAAACAAACAAACAAACAAAAAACAAATAAGAGAGAGAGAGGGAGGGAAAGAGGAGGGAAGTAGTGAAGAGCATAATTAAAGAAAGCACTAACAAAGGAAAAGCAAGAGAAGCAAGAGAGAAAATCATCTAGTAGTGGGCTGTAGAGATGGCTCGGTGCTGAAGAACACTTGCTGGCTTGCTGCTCTTCCAGGGGTCCCAAGTTCAGTTCCCAGCACCTACACTGGGTGGCTCACCAGGGCCTGTAACTCCACTCCAAGGGAACTGATGCCCTCTTCTGGCTCCCACAGGCAAGCACACATGTGTGTGCATACATAGAGACCAATACAATACATCTAAAATACATCTAAAATCAGATGAAAGAGAAACAGCCAAGACTTAAAAATAAGATAGAAAAAATATTAAAAGTAACAGTGGGAAAAGGAAAATATAAATTGGAGAAATTTCTTTCTGGGCCCTCTTGCATTGGAATCTGTGAGGTCTGGGGGTTGGAGCTGAAACCATCTACTGCGGTTCTTCCTTCTTCCCACTGTATAGGTGGGTGGTGTCTGGACGTGAGATCTGGCTACTCCAGCACTCATCAGAGGGCCTTGCACATTTTATCTCTCCCCACAGTCAAGTGGCAGCCAGTACTGTCCCACTGTGCTGTATGTCCGCTCCACAGCCAATCGGCAGTCAGACTGCCCCAGGCCTATTCTCAGTGGCTCCAGTGGTCCCCTCTCCCAGGTGTGTGTACCCAGCGTGTGATGCAAATGTCCAAGTGACAGAGCACACTCCTAGTGTGTCAGTGAAGAGAGCATAAATCAGTTCTGCACTTGCTGGGGGCACTGGAGGGCGTGGGGTTTTCTTCTGCCTGGCTTAGTGCTTTCAGAGTCCATTCAGCAATAAACCACACAATGGGAGGAAGCTGAAGAAAGTGGACATCGAGCGGACCTCAGCTCAGAGTTCAGAGAGCAGCCTGCTGACGCCAAGCACACCATTTATAGCCAGACCCCCTTACTAATCTAATTGTCGAGGTTTATCTGTGTCTAATTCTTGCATCTAAAAGACCTCTGTCTGGGTGGTCGCTACCAAGACCTTGTTGCAGGGTGCTCTAAGCTTTCCTGACTTGTGAGTGTTCCTTATTTCTAGGTCCCCAGAGTAGCTCAGCCAAACAAGCCTTAGTGTCCCTGCGCCTTCATTCCTTTTCTCCTGGGATTACCACCTCTCCCTTCTTAGCCTGATTCTTCTCACTCAGGGAGTTGCATGAGAGAAAGTTCAAGAACACCATGGTACCCCAGAACTTGAATGTTACTCTGGTTCCAAGAATTCTGATGCACTCCAAGAGCTCAATTCCTCTTCGCTGGTGGCAGAGACCAACCTTCCAGAAAGCTGCTATGTAACTGCACAATTTCTGCTGACACCCATATGCAGCCTCAGTAGATTCTAGAAGGAATCGGTAGTGTTACTCAAGTTAATTCAGGCTGGTTAATTCTAACTAGTCAGTGCAGGAATCTTTGTAGGTCTCTAATGGATGGTCATATTAGTTATTTTTTTCATCGCTGTGGCCAAATACCTGAGAAAATGCAAATGGAAGGTTTACAGTTAAAGGGATCTGGTCCACCATGGCGGGGAACGCATGGAGCTTTAAAGTCACTGGCTATATACTGCTTTTATGGTCAGAAAGAATGGGCAGGATGTGGCCTACCCGCTAGGCCCACCACCAGTGACTCACTTCCTCCAGTGAGACTCCATTTTTTAAGGTTCTATAACCCAGGCTGGAGCGAGGCCTTGGTGCTTAGGGACACATATTTCTCTTGTAGAGAGAGGTTCCAAGTTCAGTTCCCAGCAATCACGTCAGTGGCTCACAACTAAATGCGGGTAATTCCAGCTCCAGGGGATCCAATGCCTCTTTCAAGGGCGCCTGTATGGATGTGCACTTACCCATACATGTTAAGTGATAAAATATATTAAAAGTCATTTTTAAGGTTCCATAACCTAATAGTGGAGTGCCATCAGGTAGAGACCAAGTGTTGAAGCACATGAACATGCAAGGGGCGTGTCCTAGTCAAACCACACTGATTTACAACTGAATCTTGTTATTTTCTTCACGTTGAGGTTATAGTTGAGCTAGGATGAGGCTAGCATCCCTTGCAGACAAAGGACCAGTCGGTCTAGTAGTCAGAATTGTGCCTATTTGGGCAATCTTCTCCGAGCACTCCCGAATTCAGACGCACAGGCCTGAGACTGGGCACTGCCCCAAACCACCCTCCCTCGGTACAGCTCCCCAGTGACAGAGCTGTATCCAACCTTCCTTTCGGCTTCTGCCTCTAACCATCTGTTCTTCTATGTCTTCCACAAATGGCTTTAGAAAGGGAAGTGTGAAAAGATCCACATTTGCTTCTCTTAGCTAAAAGTTCTGCCAAATCACTATGCCCTCCCCACACGCTATCAACTCTAGCACCTAGGACAGTACCTGGCAAGAAACCATCACTTTCTGTTCATTCAAACAACCACTCACCTAAATGAGTGAACATATACTTTTCTGTGAATTATCTTACTTGCATCTATCTATCTATCTATCTATCTATCTATCATCTATCTATCTATGATGTGTATCCATGTTAGAGGTCAGAGAACAACTTGCAGTGGTCAGTTTTCTTCTTCCACTGTGTGGGCCACAGAAATATAACTCAGGTCATCAAGCTTGGCAGTAAATGCCTTTATCTACTTAGCAAATAAATGCCTTTATTTGCTAATTCTATATGTTACTAATGCTTTTCATCATTACAGAGACCGTTTCTATGTAATAAACATGGTTCTGAAATATTTACAGATCCTTGTCTTTAATCTGTGTTTCTATGTAATTCAACCCTATGTGATTGGATTCAAATTCATCTGTCTAAACTTCTTGGCTGTTTTTGTGGGTGAGAAATTCTTTGATTTGCCCGCTTTGTGCCAGCAGGCTGCTGAAGGAAAATATCTTTACTTTGTTCTGTTCCTGTCACTGGCTTGACCGTAGACTCCATGATCTGATGACCCATACGTAGATCCTCGGGTAGGAACAGTAGCCATGCGAGATGACAGAAAAGCCAGGTCCTAAGCTCTTGGTGAACATAACCTCTACACAGAACAAAGATGAAATGTAAAAAAATGGACACAAACGAGAACACATGACCGTGAAGTTCAAGAGGGAAACACAGAAAAGCACAGGCACCACCACTCACCATGAAGCAAAACAAAACATCCTGAACCGAGGACGCTGCCCTTGGCTATGTTTTACAAACAGTTTAAGTACTCTCGTCAAGTACTCACTAGGAACTTAGTACACGCAGGCACTGTTCTAGGGACCGAGGTCACAATAGTGACCAAAACAGAAAACTTTTTCTCATAGAACCTATGTTCTAGAGTGGAAGAAGACAGTATGTGCTACTCATACATGCTTTGAAAACACCCAGAGCATTCACTTAAGCACATTAAAGAAAGCGCCTAGAATTCCAGTAGTCTACAAATGGAAACAAGATAAATATACATCAACCGATGGTTAAATAGACTGTAGCATAGTCATACAATGGAGGTCAATTCCCAGCAACATATAAAACAAACCAGTCATGGCAGCACACCATGGGCCTATAATCTCAGCACTCAGGAGGTAGATGCAGAAGGATCTGGAATTCAAGGCGACACTCAACTACATAGCAAGTATGAGGCCAACCTAGAGCACATGACATCTTGCCTAAAAAATAACCACATGTGCACGCATACACGCATGCACGAGCGCGCACGCACACACACACACAGATTAAGATAATGTAAGAAAATCCATTTACAAGTCTGAACTCTTAAAAAAATCATTTTATTGACCCTTTACCATACAAAATTTATTCAAATTACATCCATTTGAAGTGGTAAGATCACAGCTAGAACAGGTCACCCTGTAACAAATCTATTTACAAAATCCATCATAAAAGCTTTTTTTTGTTTGTTTGTCTATTTTTACATTATATTACATTATTTATTTTTGTAACTAGCATACAACACAAAGCTAAACTGATTAGTAGTTTGCGCACTCCCAACGTTGGGAGAAACACTTCCTTTTTACAAAAAGCATGTACCCCGTAGGAAAGACATCCCACACCCTGCCAACTGCCACCCAACTTCCTCCACAAGGCATCTTCCTCCAGATCCCTTCTCAGACGCACAACGTGTCATGCACACACTTGGATTCTTACTTCGTTTTTCCTGAAAGCTAAAGCTTTAAATACTGCGGTTCTATTTACAGACAGAGCTACACGTACGACCCAAAAGGCAAACAAGAGTCACAGGAGCAACAACAACAACAAACAACAAAAAACAAAACCCAAGGCAACAGTCTTAAAAAATTACAAACCAGCTAGAAAATATTCTGGCAGTGTTTACAAATGAATCGCTATCTCTGTACAAAAACTGGAAAACAATGGCAATGTGAGCGGACTGTATCGACTTAAATAAAACTGCTATGTACACAAACACACGCCTAACACTGTTTGACAGCTCATGTGTTGCCCTTTATACAGTTTAATCCTCTGAGGCTCACGCCATCACCATTCGCACACTTGGAACGTTCAGCCATCCGCATGTGAGCTTTAAGTAGCAGCAACTTAATGGTACCAGGGAACCTGCACTCTCAGGATTTAAAGGAACACAAATACTGTAGTACTCATCTACTTTGTGTGCCAGATATTAAGAGCAAAGAAAAGACCTAAATGCAAACAGAATATAATATGGACGTCTCTCCTCTACGTACGCCAAATAAGCCCATTAACTGGAAAAGTCTTATTATGCATGAAAGAATTCTTGAAGACTCATTAGTATTCCTTTCCTTTCTTAAAACAATAAATATGGTATCACAATACGAATAGTTTCAACAAAGCAAAGTCAACCAAACATACAACAACCTGGAGCAAGGTGAGTTTAGTCATTAGACTTCGGGGGAAAGAAACCCAGCTCGATGCAGCTGGCAAAGAGAATTACACAAAGCCAGAAGCAGAGGCAGCTAACCAGATGAGATAAATAGAGGACATGGGGGAAAGCTTGGCATAAATGGTTTCCCATACAGGAAAAAACCCACAGTGCATTTCCAGTAGGCACTTAACACGAAGCTCCCCCTCCCTCCTCCACCCCAGTGCTTCAGCTCGGACCACACGGATTATTCTGTACCAAGTCCAGAGTGTGTGAGGGGAGGAGGCCGGGGCTGAGGCTGAAGAAGAGAGAGGAAGATAGTCTGCACCTTTGATTTTTCTTCCCAAACATACACCACGCATACCCACACACAGAGTTTAAAGTGCCGGTGTCTTCTGTCTCCACCCCCACCACCGCTTTGCATATTGTGGAAATCTATCTAGAGTAAACTGGCCAGGGTTCTTGTGGTTTATTAAAATGTTTTCCCAAGGGATATTTTCAACACGGTTACGTGTATATGAGTCGAGTGCCTACTACGTGCCTCCCTGGTGGGTCAGGCACATAGTGTTTCAAACCGTTCAGCTGGAGGTTAGTTTTTATGACTAACTCATTTCCGCAGCCCTTAGCATCCAAGGAATGGATTTGAGGTACTATGCCATAGTCAACACCAGGACGTGATGGCCATTGCCACCTGCCAGTGGGAACGTTATTCTTGGAAGTAACTGGAAGGATCATAGCTGACACAGAGCCTCCAGTTTGGGACACCATTCCTGAGGCGTAACGAGGGAGACGCCCTGGCATTCTATCACTGCGTTTCCTATCTCCCATTTTCCCTTTGCCCAACTCACCCACTCACAGTAGGAAGGGTGATGGGTTCTGGACAGAACTAGTCTACCCCCTGACACAGTGGGAGCTCCTCGTCCCAACTTCAGGAAGTGTCCCTGATAGAATGCCACTTACACAACGGGATGCCTTTCTCCCTAGGGCCTCTCCACCTGACCCCACCCTGAGAAGTGGTCTCCCTGAGTGTGGCATTAGAGCCCTTTCCCGGTCGCAGGGGCCCGGGAAGCCCAAGGATGGAGGGATCCATGCCTGCTGCTCCATGGGACAGCTCTATCATCTGGCCCGAGGTCCTCACTGGGGGCCACTCGAGTCAGTGAGCTCGAGAGCTGTTCTCGTTCCAAGCTTCCTTTCTGGGAAAGGAAGCAAGACAGAGGATGCTCCTCGCAGAGGCTGGTGGACCTTAGGTCACACAGGTTTAGATGCTTTGATCAGGAGAGGTTCTCTCCCTCTGCTAAAGGAAAAGGAATTTGCAAAAAACCGCTTTAAGGTAAACACTTCAATTGAAATGGTTGATGGGGGCCACAGGAATGCTTCAATGGCAGCTAGAAAAATAAAAATTCTAAAAACAACCCACAAGGAACTCCTAAGTTGCAAGTAATCAACCGGAAACTCACAAACACGCAGGATGGGGGGGGAGTGGAAGCAGGTGGGGTATGGAGACAGGAAAATCCACAACAGCGTCGAGCAGCAGAACTCTTCTAGTCTCTGTCTCTGCAATGAGCACTCACAAACAAGTTCTTCATCCAAAAGGCTGTGGAGGCTCTTGCAACCTCCGAGTGGGACACGCGGCCCATAGCTTACATTGAATTATGAGAGTAATTTAAATATTCCTAAGAGCTGAAGAAATCCGAGTCATTCCTTTGCATGACTTCAAGCTTGCATTTGTGGCAGATTTCCATTCCAGGTTAGCAGACTCACAAAGACATGCATTCTGCAGAGAAGGCACGGCTTGAAATGCTGTCAAAGGGAGAATGCTGTCTGCCAGCAGGCTGGGTGGCCAGGCCCATTCAACAGCCCATCCGTTAGGCACAGCAAGCCAGTCCGCAAGGGAAGGAGAGGAAGGAGGGGAGAAAAGGGCAGGTGAGAGACACCTGATTGCACATCTTCTCACTTGCTGACTCATCAGGAAGATTTTGGAGCCTGTGACCAGGCAGGGCTTTCCCAAGGGAGCCTGCAACTGTGCGTTTAGGGAAAAAAAAAAATAATAATAATAATAATTCATTAAAATGTCAGCTTTGTTCTGAAGTTTACTTCATGATACTCTTGGAGGAAGAAGGTAGGAGGGGACAACACTGCGATACACGTTCTGATTCCGTGATAAAAAAATATTGGTTTGTAAGGATAGTTTGTACAAAGCCCAATCAACTACACATGAAGTCCTCCACGAGGGGCAGCTTTTCCAAATCATACGCATCAAAGAGATCACTGATGCCCTCTTCCTCTCCTAGGCTCAGCAGATAGTCCTCTTGGAGCAGGGGAGGCAGTAAGTTCACAAAGGGTCCTTCGAGGTTGGAAGGGATTTGGTCCTCAGTCTGCTGTAAAAGGTTGGCTGGGGAGGTCAGAGGAGAGAGGTTTGCTGTGGAAACGGAGCAGTCGCTATGTCCTGAGTTGTTAGAAGCCAAGTCTGAAAAGGAAGAAAGGGGGAGGAGGCGTAGTTAGGAGAAACGTAAAAATCTGCCTTTCCTGGATGAATGTGCATGATGCTGCCCTTAGCTCAATGGTGCACGCGACTCGAGGCCACACATCATCACCGTTAGGCTAACCAGCACCAAGAACCCATCTCTTTGCCTCGTCCTTGTCTACTTATCTTCATTCTCTTTTTGGGAAAGGTTTTATGTGTCTTTATATCTGAGCTGGAGCTCAGCGGGAGGAAGAGAGAAAAGCGAGCTACCTTCCTGACATTTGCTGACCCTATCCTCTCCTCACTGCAGTGGGGAGGATGATAAGATCACGGTTCTGAGGAAGGCTTTTCTCGTCAAGCATGGCTGATATCCCAATACAGTCTACAGCCTCATTCCTCATGCTAGCCATTGTCCACACACCAAGGAAACAGTTTTCTGCTTACAAGAGCCCGAAGGGTCTTCATCAGGGATGAGGGACCATTTTGACTAAGATTGTTATTTTAGTCTGTAGACTAGTAATAATAACTTAAAAACTATTCTCATAACAAAAGGTCCTCTTCCACTCCCCTCTACACAACATAAAGGTGTTAACAGCTGCACGTCGCTCTATGGGCCAATTGGTAGATACTCAGGACCCAGCAGCAAGTTCAGCATGGACTTGGAACCTCTCTTTCTGATTCCAACAGAGAAGCATGTCACCTTCTCACATGGGGCCTTTAACATGATGAATGATGGAACAGCTAGTATTGTCCATAAATTCCAGGCCCACTTTTCTGCACTGACCCTGCCCAACACTTCAGTTATTTTGGCCAGTTTGGTGGGTTGCACATGATTCTTGTCCACAATGGCAAGAGAGCATTTATCAGGACTTAGCTGTGTGATTCTGAAAGAGGTTCCTTCCAGGCGCCTTCATTTTCACACACTGTTTCTCAAAGACAATAGTGGAATATTTACCTTTGGAAGTGGGCTTAGGGATATTCCCATTGTGGTCTTGGTTGTTTGTTTTCATGGGTCTGTGTGTTTCTGTTTCTTCTGGACACAAGTAAACCTCAATGGGCCCTTGGGTACTTGCCAAATGTATTTGTAGGCTCTAGGAACACAAGTAAGAGGTCAACTCAAGGTCAGTTAGAAATGAAAGCCAAAGCCCATCTCTCCTAAAACTGAAAGGGAAGGACAAGATTCATTGCTCACTGTGCTCCCTCACTCCTAGTCTGCCAGGGGTGACATTCTTCAAGTGCAAGGGGCTGCAAACCACTGCAGCCTGAAGCCAAGTCCAACCCACCAACCACTTTTGTAAATAAAGTTTTATTGGGACAGAGTTTCTGGCCATTCTCATCCTGCATATATTACCTCTGGCTGTTTGTATAGTACAGTAGTAAAGTGCATTACTTGAATAATCTAAGAAACTATGCTGCTCACAAAATCAAAGCCAACTACTACGTGGAGCTTTAAAGTTTTTTGAGCCCTGCCACAAAGACATCATTTTTGGGGGGAGAAGGGGAGGTGGCTAGGTATTCTTTAGATATATTATTTCCTGCAAATTATTTAAAGGTCTATTAAGCATTTCAAAGAATGTTTTCCCATTAAACTATTCCCTCATGGTAAAACTTTTTAATGTTAAACTCTAACAACCAACTCACAAACAGCCTTCTAAAGTGCTAGGAGCTTCGGTGAATAAGAGAATAAACCATACTGATTTTTAAATACCTTTATTTACTCATTTTAAAACAACTTGTTGCTTGTAAGCCACCTGGCCTATGAGGGATTTTAAAAATTGCACTCATTTATTTTTATGTGCATGAGTGCTTTGCCTGTAGGCACGCCCATGCATCAGCATGTATGCGTGTTGGTGCTCTGGGAAGCCACAAGAGGGCATTGGATTCTCCGGGAGCAGAATTACAGATGGTTGTGAGCTGCCAAGTGCGGGTGCTGGGAATCAAACCCAGATACTCTGGAGGAGCAGCCAGTGCCCCTAGCTACTAAGCCATCTCTCCAGCCCAAGATTTATTTTGATTTTAAAACTTTTACTTTTTTATGTATTTGGGTGTTTTGCCTGCATGTATGTCTATACATCATGCCATGCCTTGTACCTGATGAGGTTCAAAAGTGGACACTGCATTTCCTGCAGTTGGAGTTGCAGATCCTTCTACATGGGTGCTGGGAACCAAACTTGGACCCACTGGAGGAGCAGCCTGTGCTGTGACCACTGAGCCATCTCTCTAGTGCTGTACAATAGTCAGAGGCCTTCCTCATCTAGGTCACAACATTTTAATTTCTTAAGGGAAGAAGTTTACCTTGTAAATTTAACATTTTAGGTATTATTTTTTAATATTCTAGGTATTTTCTTTTTACCACAGTTCCTTTATCTTATAATTACAGTCTAGGCTGATTTTATCAAAGAACACCTGAGAGCAATTACAAAAATGCCACTCTACTTTCTTACACTGTTCTTGTCTACCGATTACCCCAAGGTCCTGTTTAATTTTCTCAAAGTAAACATACTACAAACGATTTTTAAGAATTCTTAAAAAATGTGTTAAGTCACAGAGTCACTTCTAAAGCCCCCGGAGCTCTCTATTCATGGTGGAAACTGTCCGTACACAAGGTAATCAACATAACATCTCTCAAGTGGTTCAATTTGATCAGAACCACCAGATAATAAATTGTGAAGAAGAAACGCTGAAGAGAGGCAGAGCATCAGAGACTGCTGTGACCAGAATGCCCTTCTGAATTGAAACCAGACATCTTGAGCATTTAATAAACAGGAAACTGCTGGACCTTTTTAAACTCTGGGTTAGTCAAAATAAATGGGGAAGAACTATCCAGTGCTTGGGATGAGCAGACTTGAACCATGAGCCAGGGATTCATCAAGCTCAGGTACTCTGGAATGTGTTCTGCAGATGGACCGCGCGCTGCCTCCTTACCTCTAGTGAGTCAGGCACTTCAAGTCTTGTTTCTGGAGGGGCTTTCACAACTATAACAGTTTGGTCTTTAAGGCCACTAATTTTTCGAATATCTTGATATGTAACATAAGCTAACGTAAGAAGTGTTAAGGACATTTTCCATCTCATTGTACAGATATAGCCATTATGCAAATTACCAAACAGAGCTGCTGCCCTCTCCCTGGTACACCATGGGATGACAAGGGTAAGGTAAATGTGTCCTCTCCCTCACCCCTTGCCATCTGCAACAGGTAGGAGAGCCAAGCTTGGGGACATGAGAACGGAAGAGCTAGGCTTATCACTCACCAATCAATCCAGACAGCGGGCCCTGCGTCTCGCCTGGGCAAAACAGTAGAACTGGCCCTGGTGGTGTGAGTGTGGATGAACTGGACCAGAGGGTGCGAGAGCAGGACTAGCCCGGCTCCTTGCTGTCTGCTACACTGGGTGAGCTAGCTAAGGCAGTACTGGAGAGCTCACCTGGGTGGTGATGATGAGGAAAACCTGGCAGGCTGACCAACCCAGTTACCACCCATGCTCCAACCCAGGACAACTGATAGTCCACCTCATCAATACACTTCTGGAGTATGGGCAGGGACTTAGACCTGCAGATCCAAAGCTACAGGCTCTCCACGACACAAGGCAACAATAAGATGTCCAAGGAGCCCCAGTGTATCGAGGGTGTAGCAGAAGCCAGAGGCCTTGAACCAGACCAATGACTCATTGCAATAAACACAAGTAAAGATGCATGGATGAAAAGAGAGACACACTGGGTCACACTACAGCTTCCATGTCGAGATTTTAGTTTGTTTGTTTTGTTTTTACTTTTAAATTTTATTACTTTTTTGGGGGGGAAGTTGCAAGGACAGAGGGCAGAAGTGAAGGGGAGATGAATGGCATTGGGATGCAAGATGTGAAATCCACAAAGAATAAAAAGTAATAAATAAATAAATAAAAAGACAAAACAGACATATGGAAAAATTATCCATCATTTTATGACTTAAAAGAAGATATGTCTTCCCTTTTGGATAGTCAAATAATGGGCTCCCTCGTGGCTCTTCTGGTTGATGGTCTCAATAATAATGATAAAAAAAAATCTATGCTTTATTTTGCCAATCTTGTATACTAGCATTCTATAAATTCCAGTAAAGTGCCCCGTCAAACTGATTGACAGATGGCCCTAATTTTGAAGGTGGGGCGGGAGAGCACGATTTACTAATCAAAAATTTTTGAGACAACAGCTACTTCTGCTTGCTATTAGCAAGTGACAGCAGCCACCGAATGAATGACTAAACAGCAAACACGGGCAGAAGAACAGTGTCTACCGCGCAGGCAGACAGTGGTGTTTACTCAAGTGCACCTGCGCTGGGGTGATTACATATTGCCTAGACAGCAGCGCATCCTCATTTCTGCTAGAGAAATTACCCTTGTTATTATTAACACCATGAACACTTCAGGCTCCCAAGGAGGTGAGCGGCTCCCAGGTGCTCTGCAGCCGAATGAATTGGAGATACAAGGACTTAGCGAAAGAGAGTAAGTGAACATTTCATGACTCTTGCTCGGTAGTTACTTCCAAATACCAAGTACCGAAGCCAAGACTAGAAGGCGAGCATGAAAAAGCATGGTACTTACTATGGACCAAAAGCACGCACATAAATGCACACGAACGCAGCCAGAGACAGACATTTAGCAGCAGGGACAACAGGCTCAAGGCTTTCTCTTGATAATGGACAAGGAGGAAAACATATAACGCTTTTAAAAAATTAGTTATTGGCTGGGCGGTGGTGGCGCACGTCTTTAATCCCAGCACTCGGGAGGCAGAGGCAGGCGGATCTCTGTGAGTTCGAGGCCAGCCTGGTCTACAAGAGCTAGTTCCAGGACAGGCTCCAAAACCACAGAGAAACCCTGTCTCGAAAAACCAAAAAAAAAAAAAAAAAAAAGTTATTATTATTATTATTAGTGTGTGCGTGTGTGTGTGTGCGTGCACGTGTGCATGTGCCTGCATCATGGCAAGGGTGGTAGTCAGCTGACAATGTCTGAGTCAGGTCCTCTCCTTCCACCATGGGTTCCACAGATCAAACCCAATTCATCAATCAGGCTTGTGTAGAGTACTTTTATCCACTGAGCGATATCTTATTAGCCTTTTAGGGAGCTTAATTTTCTTTTCTTTTTCTTTTTAAATAAAGCCTTGTATCTGTCTGTATATGGGTATGTGCACGTGTATGAAGGATGTCTGTGGAAGTCAGAACTTTTATTTATTTTTGTTTTGTTTTTTGAAACATGGGGTCTCAATTGTATAACCTTGGCTAGCCTCAAACTCAAGAGATCTGTGTTCCTCTGTCTCCCAGAGTGCTGAACTTAAAGGTGTGTGCCCTTATTCATCTTTTAAAATATAAACGAATGAACACACACACACACACACACACACACACACGCATGCACTTGCCTGTACTACAGATTGTCTTCTCCAAATCTTAGCAGTTAAGACGGAATTAAATATGGTGCTCCACTTCAGGTCACCACTTAGCCTACCAAAGAAGTGAATGGGGGCTTTTGGGGAATACTGGATGGACCTGGTTTTTGTTGAGAATACTAGATTACTGATAACCAGGTTTTTAACCTTGAGCCCACCATCAAAAGGCTATGTAACAAGAGCTTACAAAAATAAAACTCACCCACAATTATTCAACAAGCTGTAGGAAGGAAGATTTCAACACATCTCTGAACAAGCTGTACCAGACTGGGAACTGAAGAGAGGGCTGAGGGAAATTTCATAAATATATTTGCTAATCTTACAAACTTAAAAGTGCTTGTGATGTGGTTCTCCCCCTCTAAATCCATTTCTTGTTTTCCCTCAAGGAAACTTTTTTTTTTTTGAACAAAGGCCCCAGAGAAAGTCAATAGGAGACAATGCTATAAACCACATATTCAGGACAGCTGTCAGTCACAGCTTTCCCACGATGGAATTCCAATTAAACAGTGAATTAAATAGTCCTACTATTGATTTCTTTTACAAAATTTCTCTCATGTATTTATTTAGCATGTGAATGGGTGGCTATGTGGGCCACAGTGCACATGACAGTGAAGTTCTGAGGTCAGGACAATGTGCAGGAGTCAGATCTCTCTTTCTACCACGTGGGTCCCAGGGCTCGAACTCAGATCTTTACGCTTGGAGGCAAGCATCTTTACCTACTGAGTCACCCCATTCATTTCTTCATGTAAAGGCAGCCTTCAATTGCAGCCCTGGCTGGCCTGGAACTTGCTACGTAGACCAGGCTGGCCTCAAACTCACAAAGACCTGCCTGCCTGCCCCCTGAGCGCTGGGATTACTAAAGGGCACCACCACGCCAGGCTCTTTCCATTCTTATAATTTTATTTATTTAATTCTTTGAGACAAAGTAGACAGGATATACTACGTAGTTTTAGCTGGTCTGGAACTCATTATGTAGGCAGGACCAGGCTGAACTCCACCTGCCTTTGCCTTCCAAATGCTGGCATTAAAGCCATATGCTATCTTGTTCTTTTGTTCATAAAAGATAAGAGCTCACGCAGACCAGGCAGGCCTCAAACTCCCTAGGCAGGCATGGACAGTCTTGGATTCTTGATCTTTCTGTTTCATTTGAGACAGGATTTCATGTACCCCTGACTAACTCTGAACTGGCTATGGTGCTCAAGTTGGCTTTGAACTCCTCATAATTCTGCCCTTGTGTTTCAAATACAGGTATCACAAAGTGTAATCTCTTTTTTTCTGTTTTGTTTTTCTGGAGACAAGGCCTTGCTATTGTAGCCAGGGTAGCTGTGAACTCAGGATTCAGTTTCTCCGCTGTCAGGATCATAGGCAGTTCCACCACACCCAGCTACAGTATACTTTTCTAGTCTCAATGGTAGCCCAATCAGACAGATTCAGTAAATTCCAATCGCTACAATGTCTGATGAAAAGAAAATAGAAAGCGAGAACCCCAACAGTGTCAGCTAACACCCACCAAAAATCTGGGAAGGCGAAGACAAACCTGCCTAATGTTGCCATTAATATTAATACTGACACCTTCCGCTTTATTGTAATAGCGTGTTCTTACAATGTGAGTGTATCTATATGTTCAGCCACACGTGAATAAATGCTTTAAAACAGTTCTCACCTGGCTTTCAACACCGATAATGATACCATACAGTCCAAAGTTACTTTATTAAAAATGCTGTCTTCTGTGGTAAAGCTAAGTGGACACAGACAGACAGACAGACGGGCAGACACACACACAATGGTTGTTTGCATGATGCCATAGTAACACCCATCTCCCCGGAGACCAAGCCTGTCTGTCGGCTCTGGAAACAGTATGAAAGGGCCTAACCACCAGCGGCAGAAAGGATATCTTTGATTCTCTGAATCCTCGGTCAGCAGTTTGAGGTCCAGGGTGCAGCTTTGGATCAGTTCATCTAATTTCTTCTCTTCCTGACTGAGCTCGGTCACTTCTTTGGACAGGCCTTGACACTGGGCCAGCATGCCCCCATCCTCAGACAGACTGCAGCCCCTAGAACACACACACAGATGCTTTACGGCGCTTTACAGGAGCTGAAGGATGTGGGGGGTGGAACCACTGGGGTCAACGACTCCCCTCCCCCGTGCCACGCTGTTTTTCAGCCAAGGGCTGAGCAGAGCTTCAGAAACACATCTGCACAGCCATGCACTTCCACACACCAAGAAACCAGGTGAAAACAGTCATTCTCAGGGTCCTTTTCCCAAGGGGGGTAAAAAAAAAAAGCCTGTTTGTTCAGTAGTCTCAAATTCTGAGGGCAAAAAAGCAGCCACCTGGTTCCCACCACCACCACCTAATCCATGCATCCCTGGGGGCAAAAGAGGCAGGTGTGTCAGGCATCTGCAAGAACAAAGATCAGCCATCCACAGGGTTCTCTAAGGCATAGGTCAAAGTGAGTTTGCAATTCCCAGCGCACGCACGCGCGCGCACACACCCACACACACACATGTTAGAAATCCACTCAGTTTTTTTCAACATGGGGGATTGAACACAGGGCCTTTTTTAACGCAAGTAATCTAGCGCAGAGTTACGACCTCAGCCCTTGACTGTATTTAGACAGGTTTTTGTTTTCCTCATTTATTGCAAGGATGTGGACACACCCTACTATGTTGGGAGTATGGAGGCCAGGGAACAACTCTTTAGAGTTGGTTCTCTCCTGCCTTAATGCATGTTTGTTTCAGGGATCGAATCTAGGTTGTCAGGATTTCGAGGCAACCTTTTACTGGCTGAGTCACCTTGCCAAATTATATATATATTTAAAATAGTCCTCAAACAGTTTTGATCCTTTTAATATGATTTCATAGCTCAATGCTGTACTTATAAAATGCCTGGCTCTGTCCAGGTCTCACAAATGACATCATCAAGAATCAGACACTGAAGTCTTGCCCTCACTGACAGAGGAAGTGTGTTAATCTATTAGAACCAGAAATGAATCTGTTTCAAGACCGTGTTCGTTCATATTCATCCACACATGACCAAAATACAATATAGGAGACATGCACACGCATCGACAGATCACACACCTACGCACAGACTAAGTGTGATGGGTGAAGAGCTTCCTTCCCAATTTACAACTGCAGAGGTCTACTCAATTCCCCAATCCTTGGGATTTTGCTAATCAGATACAGACCCAGCAGTATCTATATAAGATACTTCTATGCTAAAAGACAGTTCTTTTTTTTTTTTTTTGCCTTGTTTTGTTTTTTTCTTGTTGTTTGAGATAGGGTTTCACATATCCTGGGCTGGACTTGAACTCCCTATGTACTGAAAGATGATCTTGAACTTCTGGTTGCTGGTGTTGAACACTTACTTCATATGGAGCTGGGGGTTGAACCCTGGGCGTCATCCTTCTAGACAAGCATTCTACTAACTGAGCTCCATCCTCAGCCCTGACTTTCTACATGGGAAGAAGGGAGGAAAGGAGGGAGGGAAAAGGGGGAGATGTATGGGTCTGAATGTGGGAACTGAAATTAGGAGAAACTGAGGCAGTCACAAACGCCCCCTGAAGAGTTGGTGCCTGGGAGAAGGGGACCCCTACTCACATCCACTGGACGTTGTTCTTCGACTTCTTCTTAATGAGGTGGATGCCTTCCAGCACGTTGGTGATGTCGTAAATCCTCCTCTTCTGCACTTTGAGCACCTCTGCTGCCTTGTTCAGATCCAGGACCCCATCAGGCGACTGGCTCAGGAGCTGAATGAACTTCTTGGTGAGCAGACCGAGTGACGTATCATACCGCGTTTTTTCTGAGGGAGATTTTGGAGCTTAAAGAAAAACAAAAACCGAACGGGTGGGGGATAGGGGGAAAGGTAAAGAAATGAAGGGTTTCTTCGCAGCTAAGCAAGCCCTCTTTCCCAAGGCAGCCGGATTAGTATCTGAAGCAAAGCTGCTGTTGTCTGGGGTGAGTTACAAAAGCTATGGCATGGCTTTATCAGGAAAGGAAGAGACATTACAGACTTCCTATGTCGGGCAATAACGTTTCCTTGGTCTCCGTCAGTGGTGTCTACTTTCCCTTCCTCTATTTTCTGGCTAACGAGATACCTCACACACAGGTGCTCAAAAGTATCTTCTGAATGAAGAAAAGGTGACGCGGCCTCGGGGAATCTCACTTAAGAAGCCCAAGCTACCACTTTGTCCAAAACAAACAGACTTGAGCTCCCTGGCTGCTCAGGCACCGGTGTGTTATCACTTGTTAGTTCATCTTGCAGAACAAGTCTTATTTGGATAAAGAACACCTCAAAAAGTTCAAGCTGTCACCCCTCTTAAACAAAATGCCGCTATTTAGCATCGTGCTACTCTCCTACAGGAGCTCAGGTTCAGCTCTTACACCCACACAGTCTGGGGATACGTACTTGTGAATCTATAGGGAAAGAATAGTCAAGTCTAACTTAGCTTTTGCATTAAATGAGGAACCAGGAAATACTTGGTCATTTATAATGTATTAGTTTCTCTCTCTAATGACAAGGTGACAGAAATTAGCCTCTCCACGGAGGCAGAAATTAGCTGTGATTTATTGGGTAAACTACTTCTGCTCCTTTTTTCCCTTCCTAAGACAAGGTGTTGTGTATCCTAAGCTGGCCTTGACCTCGTGGAGTTGAGGACACACTTGAACCTTCCCCTCTCTAGTTCCCAGATGCTGGGAGTATGGGTGTGTGCTCCCACACTCAGTTTCCGTGGTGCTCGGGATTGACCCCAGGCCTCATATGCTAGGCAAGGACTCTACTAACCAAACTGCCCCAGTTCCTAAGCTACTGTGTGGTGAGCAGAGAATGAGGTTGGCAGGGACATCACTTACCCTACCACATTCATCTCCACCCTTCTTGCTCTCTTAAGTTATATCCATGAAAGGGATTATGAAAGTTAAATATGACTAGTTCAAAATGCAAATAAACGCATCCAGGTACCGGAGTGACTATCACCATTTGCTAAGTGCCAGGAGACATTGTATAATTTTTTTTTTGGATAGGCACAGGAAGAAATAAAGAAACATGCCAAAATTATTCACGCGTTGGCATCCTTCCAGCCACAAGCTTCGCAAGTTGGGAGTCCCACACCAAGGAGCACAGGGAAACAGATAAAAGCACCCTTACTTTTGGGACTATCAGGACTCCGCAGTGCGGCTCTTCCTTTGCCCTTGGGAGTTTTCAGACCATCTGAGAGGTACTGATGGCCACTCTCACCCAGCTCCAGCCTTCGCTTTGCCTGTAATCAGAAAGTGAGAGAGCTGTCACCGGTGCTGTTTGTGCCCTCCTTCTCCGCCTCTATCCCACCCTGTGGCTTGTCATGCCCCACAGTTGGGGTCTTACTCAGAAGGCCAACCTGCCACACAAACTCCCTTCCCCGGCGGTGCTCGCATCCCCACACTTGGATGGGCAAAGTGACTCCTCAGCTATGGCTTAATCATTTATTTACTGACTCAACTTATGTTCTGGGCACAGGGCTGGTTGCTAAGAACAACTCATGCATTATGGAACGTAAGTTCACATTCGTGGGTATCTCCCAATCTGACTTGGTTGGATACCCTTTTCTGTGCTCCTCGGACACTGTTTCCTTACACCCTAACAGTTATTGGTCACTTATCCACCTCTCATTTCCTGCAAGACAGACACTTGTCATTTATCATCGCATCCTGGAGCTTGGCGAAGAGCCCGGGTCTGTAGGTTTTCAATCACTCTTTCTATATACATTCATCAAACACGTGAGTTAGAGCAACATGACTAGCTACAGGCCAAAAGTGGTCCTTCATCAGAAAAATAAACGTTACAAATACACCATTAGGAGCTACAACCAAGAGCACGTCCTCTGGCTTATCATTAAATCTGGCAAGCGAGAAGCTGTCACACACATTTTTATCTTATTTTTCACTTCACTCAACATCCATCTAACATCTTCTGCACGCTGGGAACTGTAGGTGGAAACCTCGGTAAGCAAGATGGATAAAAATCTCTTCCTCCTCAGGATGCAGAGTCAGAAGATAAGACAGAAGACTAGGTGTTGGGAAGTACTGTATGATTATGGTGGGTGTTTAAAGCAAGGTGTCTCCAACCAGATACCCAGCAGGACAAAGCGTACTAAACTCCCTTTAGGGTAGCTTCTTCAAGTGAGATCTGCAACTTCAGATCCTCTTATCAACTACTTATTGTTGTGGAATATTAGTTTAAGATGTGTTATATTCGTTTATGCTGTGGAATATTTGTTTAATGATGCAAAGATGCGTTGCATTCCTTTATGCTGCATTTGTTTTACTCTGGGAAGCTGTGTTACTTTGCCTGTCTAAAATACCTGATTGGTCTAATAAAGAGCTGAATGGCCAATAGCTAGAAAAGAGAAAGGATAGGTATGGCTGCCACGCAGAAAGAATAAATACAAGGCGAAAACTAGGCTGGGGCGGGGGAGAACCAAGGAGGGAGAAAAGGAGGAGAGGAGGATGCCAGGGCCCAGTCACACAGCCACCCATAGAGTAAGAAGGAAAGAAAGAATAAAGGTAAAAAGCCCAGAGGCAAAGCATAGTTAAAGAGAAATGGGATAATTTAAGTTAGAAAAGCTGGCTCGAAACAAACCAAGCTAAGGCTGGGGATTCCTAAGTAAGAATAAATCCCTGTGTATTTATTTGGGATCTGGATGACAGGACCCCAGAGTTAAACAACAACAACAATAACAACAGCCCAACTGCAAGCTATGATACAGGAAACAGACAGAGGATGATGGTTATCTGGCTTGCTACTGGCCACCAGGTTATCCCAATTTACACACTTTACAAGTCTAAAATACACATTGGATTTTAAATATATAAAGAAGTAAAATAGTCTGAGTTTTGTAGGTATTGAAGCCAGAGGACAACCGTGGGTGTTTTCCTCAGGTACTGCCCATATTGTTTTTTTTTGGTTTTTTAATTTATTTATTTATTAAAGATTTCTGTCTCTTCCCCGCCACCGCCTCCCATTTCCTTCCCCCCTCCCCCAATCAAGTCCCCCTCCCTCCTCAGCCCGAAGAGCAATCAGGGTTCCCTGCCCTGTGGAAAGTCCAAGGAACCCCCACCTCCACCCAGTTCTAGTAAGGTGAGCATCCAAACTGCCTAGGCTCCCCCAAAGCCAGTGCGTGCAGTAGGATCAGAAACCCATTGCCATTGTTCTTGAGTTCTCAGTAGTCCTCATTGTCTGCTATGTTCAGCGAGTCCGGTTTTATCCCAGGCTTTTTCAGACCCAGGCCAGCTGGCCTTGGTGAGTTCCCAATAGAACATCCCCATTGTCTCAGTGCACCCCTTGTGGTCCTGAGTTCCTTGCTCGTGCTCTCTCTCCTTCTGCTCCTGATTTGGACCTTGAGATTTCTGTCCGGTGCTCCAATGTGAGAGAAGCTAAATAAGGAGAACCCAAAGAAAAACATATAGGCATCCTCCTGAATATTAACTTTCATCAGGCGATGAAAGGAGACAGAGACAGGTACCCATATTAGTTTTTTTAAAGATAGATGTTTTTTTTTTTTTTTTTTTGTTTTTTTTTTTGCTTTTTCGAGACAGGGTTTCTCTTTAACTAGCTCTTGTAGACCAAGCTGGCCTCAAACTCACAAAGATCCTCCTGCCTCTGCCTCCTGAGTGCTGGGATTAAAGGCGTGCGCCACCACCGCCCAGCTAAGATAGATTCTTTTATTGGTCTGGAATGTGTAGATTGGTTAGTCCAGCCGGCCAGCTCCACGAATCCACCAGTCTCCATCTCCCCCAGGGCTGGTATCACAATACACTCAGATAGTCACAGGCAAGACAAGCTTTATTCCCAATCAAGCTATCTCCCCCAGCCCAACATCTCACTAATTTTGATACTGATTATGTTAAAAAATACTTTGGCTTTATAGAGTATTCTGCAGTTTGCATGTGTGCCTATCATCTTTCTATTGGACAGGGTTAAGCTAAGCATTCATCAAATGGTCCAGGAAGGACAATTCAGCAATATGCTTTCCTGACCTCCTTTCCTGCTCCCAACTCTCCTGTCCAATCCATGCATGTTCTGTGGATTTTGATTTTCTTGGCCAACATTCTATCTCTGGACAACCAGCCTTCTCCTCTCAGAGCCTGAGTAGGTTTAACTACACCTGGGCTTGCCTCGTTGCTGTGCTGCCTCCTGCCCGCCCCTCCCCCACCTGGCATCCAACAGGTTGCGTGGCATAAGGCCAAAGCTGGGGGAGGACGGGACAACTTTTAAGAATTTTCCTAGAACTACAGGTAAAATGTTGTAGACTTGAAAACAGGGATAGAAAGTAAAGAGACTGAGTTGGCTCATGTAACAGGAGCAGTAGTAGGTCTTCTCCAGATTTTTTGTTGTTGTTGTTGTTGCTTTAGTCAATAAAATCTGTGTATTGAAAGCACCTTGGGCTGAAACCCGAGAGTGTGTTGTTATAAGCACCAGTGAAGATAGACTGGGATGCAGTGCGCAGCCGCAGGGTCCTGGTAGAAAGGTGTGCGTGTGCCTGCATGTGTGTGCATGACTTCTTGTGGCTACTGGGAAGCAGTTACAGAAAAAAAAGTCTTACTTTGAGGTTAGACTACCTGAAAGTAAGCTACTGTGTTCTGGTCCTCTTTGTGAAAAGTAATCCAAAGGGTTCAGACAACTGTCTCCTCCCAAGGCAAAGTCAATCAAAGACAAAGCTGGAAGTTTGGGATCCAAAGCTCCTAAGCCCCAAATCTATGCTCTCCTTAAGTCAAGATCTACCCTCTGGCCAGCAGCCCAGGTACAGGCGAATTTTGCCTCATCGCCCTAGGCCATTCTGTTTTGCTTTGAAGCAAACTCCTAAGGAAGCACAAAGTCACAGGCCAGGAAATTCCCAGAGGGCTGTTGCTAAGAGACCGAAGTCTAACTTCAGTCACCAGAACTAGTTTCCATGTGTGCCTCTGGTTACTAAGCATCAGCAAAGTAAACCAATTCTAAATATCTGATAGTCTACTAAATGCTGGCTGAGAGAGCAAAAGGCCTGCAATGCCTCAGTCTCTTAAGGGACTTAATCATGAGGCTTGGAGACCCCCACCACAAACAAGCTATGGAAGAAAGGCCGTCCAAAATACCCTTCCCAGAGCCAACAGGGGAGGCCATTAGCAGCTCCATCCATCATCCCATGCCCACCAAGTCAGTCCATAACTGAAGACACAATGGGCCATAGGAAGTGATCACTATATGGTGTTTTACACTTTCTTTTTTTTAAAATATTTATTTATTTATTATGTATACAATTTTCTGTCTGTGTGTATGCCTGAAAGTCAGAAGAGGGCGCCAGACCTCTTTACAGATGGTTGTGAGCCACCATGTGGTTGCTGGGAATCGAACTCGGGTCCTTTGGAAGAGCAGGCAATGCTCTTAACCACTGAACCATCTCTCCAGCCCTTTTTTACACTTTCTTAAACAGGTATTTCTGCTGGATTATTCTATCCCTTCCATTTCATGAACGGGAGGGATGAATTAGACTTGAACACACCACATGCTTCCTATGAGTCCCTGATTTGAACATGCCTATAGTAACTGGACTCGTGGGCAAAGGCTAAGACTTTTGACCTATGATAAAGCATCGTTTTAAATGCTGAACGTGGCAAATTCAATCATATATACTTAGTAAAACAAAAAGCTAGATTGAATAGTGTGGGAGCGCTCTGCCTCCACTAACACACCGATGAGTCTCTTCAGTCTGTCCTCACTTTTCTTTGCTCACAGTGTGAGCATCTTGGTGAAAAGCGTGGTGTGAAAGATGTATTTGGCCTTCATTTTCATTCAGTGTCCTGATACACAACTCCCAAAATCTATGGATTTTTCCAGTGACCTGTCATTGGTGTGTTAGTGAGTTGAACGATGGTGGTTACCAGAGGGTTGGGCTGCTATATTCCTTTTGGGCTACTGTGACAAAATACTTGACAGAAATAACAAGGGAGGAAAGGTTTATTTCAGTTCATGGCTTTAGGAATTCCAGTCCATCACAGAGGGAAAGACACGGTGGAGTGGGGGAAGGCATGGTGGGGTGTATGTCATTTGGAGTGTGGAGGATGCTAACATCATAGCAAATGGGGAAGCGGAGTGGCCAGACTAGGGACAGGAATATCCTTTAAAGACCTGCCCTAGTGACCTACATCCTCTACCTAGGTCCTAAAGTTTCCACAGCCCCATAACAAACACCCCCACCAGCTGGGAAACAACATTCGAGACATGGACTTACGGGGAACTGACAGT